AATTCGGGACCCCAGACCCAAACTGGGAACCCCCAGAGCCAAATTGGGAACCCAGAGCCAAACTGGGAACCCCCAGACCCAAATTCGGGACCCCCAGACCAAATTCGGGACCCCAGACCCAAACTGGGAACCCCCAGAGCCAAACTGGGAACCCCCAGAGCCAAACTGGGAACCCCCAGACCCAAATTGGGAATGCCAGAGCCAAACTGGGAACCCCCAGACCCAAACTGGGGACCCCCCGACCCAAATTCAGGACCCCAGAGCCAACCCCTCCCCCCAAAATCCCAATTTTTGGGCGATTTCTCCCCTCAGACCCCCCCAGACCCGATTTTGGGGCTGTCCTCACCCGGAAGGGGCTCTGGGGGATGTTGACGCCCCCCCAGGACACCATGGCCGTGTGTTTCAGGGCTTTTTTCGGGGTGTAGGAGCAGCTGAAGGTTCCGTTCCCGTTGTCCTTCACTGCCACATCCACGGGGGTCCCCTCGGCGTCCTGGGGAGCCCAAAAATGGGGCTCAGGAACCCCCAAAATCCCCCCAAAAATTCCCCCAAAAATCCCCAAAAATTCAGCTGAAATCTCCCCAAAATCTGATGGGGATCGGCCCCAAAAACTCCCCCCAAATCCACCTCAAATCCCCCAGATCTTCCTCAAAAAATCCCCCAAATCCACCTCAAATCCCCCCAAAAATCCCCAAAATCCCTTTAAAATCCCCCCAAATCTTCCCCAAAAATTCCCCAAAATTCCAAAAAAATTCCCAAAAATTCCCAAAAATTCCCCCCAAAATTAACAAAAATTCCCACAAAAATCCCCCAAAATTCCCCAAATATCCCCAAAAAATTCCCAAAAATTCCCCCAATCCCCAAAAATTCCCCAAAATTCCCCAAAATTAATTCCCAAAAAATTCCCCCAAAATTCCCCAAAAATCCCCAAAAATCCCCAAAAAATCCTCAAAAATAATTCCCCCAAAATTCCCCCAAATTCACAAAAATCCCCCAGTATTCCCAAAAAATCCCCCCCAAATCCCCAAAAATTCCCCAAAAATTCCCAAATATTCCCCAAAATTCAAAAAAAATCCCCAAAAATAATTCCCAAAAATTCTCCAAAAATTCCCAAAAAAATCCCCCAAAATTCCTAAGAAATAATTCCCAAAAAATTCCCCCAAAAAATCCAAAAAAATCCCAAAAAATTCCCCAAAATTAATTCCCAAAAAATTCCCCCTAAAATTCCCCAAAATTCCCCAAAATCCCCCCAAAAATAATTCCCAAATATTCCCCAAAATTCCCCCAAAAAATCCCAAAAATTCCCCACAAATTCCCAAAAATTCCCCCAAAATTCCACCCAAATTCCCCCAAAATTCCCAAATATTCCCCAAAAATTCCCCAAAAATTAACAAGAATTCCCAAAAAAATCCCAAAATTTCCCCCAAATTAAAAAAAAATCCAAAAAAATTCCCAAAAAATTCCCAAAAACTTCCCAAAAATCCCCAAAAATAATTCCCAAAAATTCCCCCAAAATTCCACCCAAATTCCCCCAAAATTCCCAAAAAAATCCCCAAAAATTAACAAAAATTCCCAAAAAAATCCCCCAAAATTCCCCCCAAATTAAAAAAAAAATCCCCAAAAATTCCCAAAAAATTCCCCAAAATTCCCAAAATTCCCCAAAATTCCCAAATTCCCCAATTCCCACCTGCATCTGCACTTTGAGGTTGCCTTTGCCGCCGTGTTTGGCGTCCACGGTGAATTCCGTGGTTTTGTTCAGCACCACCCCCGAGGGCTCCAGCCCCGGGCCCTGCGCCTTCACCTGGGAAAATCCCGGAAAGTTCCAGAAAATCCCGGAATTTGGGGCTGGGAATTCCCGGAATTGCCAGAGGGAAAAACCAAAATGGGGCTTGGGGGGAGGAATTGGGGAATTTTGGGGTTTGAGAGGGGGGAGGAATTGGGGAATTTTGGGGTTTGAGAAGGGATTTGGGGGGGATTTGGGGCAGGATTTCAGGAATTTGAGGCAGGAATTTGGGAATTTGGGGCAGGAATTTGGGGGATTTTGGTGGGAATTTTGGGAGATTTGAGAGGGAATTTGGGGCAGGATTTTGGGGGTATTTTGGGGCAGGATTTGGGACAGGATTTCAGGGATTTTGGGCAGGATTTTGGGAATCTGGAGCAGGATTTTGGGAATTTGGGGCAGGATTTGGGGATTTTGGAGCAGAATTTCAGGATTTTGGGGCAATCCCCACCTTTTCAGGGAAGCTGTCGTTGCCCTGGGGCCGGATCTGTGCCATGAAGGGGCTGCCCCGGGGGTTATTTTGGGGCAGGATTTGGGGCAGGATTTGGGGATTCAGGACAGGATTTTGGGGCAGGATTTAGGGATTTTGGGGCAGGATTTTGGGATTTCAGGATTTTGGGGCAATCCCCACCTTTTCAGGGAAGCTGTCTCCACCCTGGGGCCGGATCTGTGCCATGAAGGGGCTGCCCCAGGGGGTTATTTTGGGGCAGGATTTTGGGGATTCAGGACAGGATTTTGGGATTTCAGGGATTTTGGGGCAGGATTTGGGGATTTTGGGGCAGGATTTAGGGATTTTGGGGATTTCAGGATTTGTACCAATCCCCACCTTTTCAGGGAAGCTGTCTCCACCCTGGGGCCGGATCTGTGCCATGAAGGGGCTGCCCCGGGGGTTATTTTGGGGCAGGATTTGGGGCAGGATTT